CATTGTTTGAATAGTATACATATAATCACTTCCCCTTCTTTCTGACCAATTAGGCTCACTATGTATGGTCACAATTCATAAATTAGAAGAGAGACATTCATTTCATTTAGATAGGCACTACTAACTGTGTCTTCACTTCTGATACTCTCCTTCTTTTCCAGTTATAAACAGGTTTCTGCTTTCTCTAAGTGTTTTGTGATGTAGATTTAGTATGTATGCTTTTTTCTCTGCTGATGATATGAATTGTTTTGGGAAGTTAACTTCTTTGCAATCATTAAATAGCTTTATCAGTAAGAGTAACACCAGAAATGAGATTGAACATATCAATCCAGTTATCAGGCTTGTTCTCGAAAAGGGCCTGATTTCCAATTAGGGCTAACAGATTTTTTTTTTTTTTTTTTTTTTTTTTAAACAAAGTGGTAAGACCATTCCCTGCCCTCTCTAGATATCTGGCTAACATTCTAAAGACATAAAACAACAGATTATTTCCCTCTTCTTGTGTTTGACTTCCATTTGTAAATATCCTTAATTTGTGTGACTTAAGGTTAGGGTTAAAGTCCAAATACCACTTTTTTTTTTTTTTTTTAAACTTTTGAAGACAGTAGAGTATAGTAATCAGGAACACCTAATGAAGTTCAAATTCTGGCTCTACCACTTCAAACTTTGATATAAAATCCCAATGCCTCATTTTCCTCTTCTGCAAAATTGGAATAATTTCTACTACTACCACGACCACTCATAATATTAACTAGTATTTATTGGGTATTTACTCTACATTAGGCACAAAATTTTACTTACATTAAATCAATCTTCACAACCACCCTATATATTATTAGTATTATGCCCACTTAAGGTGAGGAGACAGTCACAAAAATGAAGAGTAACTTGCTTAAGGCCACACAAATAAGTGTGGAATTAGGATTTGAGTCTGGGTAGTCAGACTCCAGAGTTTGTGCTTATAACCTCCTACTTCATAGAGTTGTTTTGAAAATTAAATAACGTCCATATAGTGTGTCTTGACAGGCAATCCATAAACGTTGGCTGCTATAATTAGCTTTGAGTTTATAAAGCATTTCACATTTTCTAATTTGGTTGTCATAAGTACAGCAGTACATTGTGACCATCACTGTCCTACAGATAGGACCTGAGGCATAAGTTTGGTCATTTGTCCAAGGTTGTACAGCAAGCATGAAAGCAATGCCTTGGCCTTCCTCCTCTTCCACACCTGGATTTTTATGTTGAATACGAGGCATCACATTTTGAGAGTTTCATGGACATAGGTTATTTTGGCCTGCCCAGCATCCATTCCATTTACTGAGAATTAGCAGCTCACTCTTGCTTTGAGGAAACACCTGACCGAGTAGGTGATAAGACACATGACTCAGGTGAGGCCAACAGATGTTAGGCAAATTGATGTGTTCCTCCTCTAATTTTAATCTTAGGTTGAATGGCACAGTGACAGTCACAGTTCATTCATCCAACCATAGATTTGTTCCTAACATATAGGCGCTGGAGCTGCTCCGTTATTTGTACTCAAAGACTTGATTTTTCACCTTTTCCTCAGTCCTGTGCCCTGCCTCATATCCTTTATTATTTTTCCTTTTTTAAGATTTTATTTGTTTATTTTTAGAGAAGGAAAAGTAGGAAGAGAGAATCAATGTCTGGTTGCCTCTCGAGCGCTCCGTACTGAGGACCTGACCCACAACCCAGGCACATGCCTGGGAAACAACAGGCGACCTTGTGGTTCGCAGGACAGTGCTCATTCCACAGAGCCACACCAGCCAGGGCCCTACCTCACGTCCTTTAAATACATTCCTATATCACATAATTGGTTACCCAAAGTCAGTTTCTGTGGCTTGCATCTGATACTTCCTTAACTTACTGTTACATGACATGAGGCCATGTCACCTAGAAAAAGAGTTAAAATAACTGGTTAACTTTAACTTGAAGAGAAATCTCAGAGAAGACCTGAAAGTTACCTTCAAATATCTGAAGCGTGTAGTATACAAAGTATCCCTAAAAAGAATAAAGCTATTCCTCGCAAACAGATGTCTGCTCAAATTAACAACTTGATGATGACAGTTCTGCTATTCATTGTGGTATAGAGCAACAGTTAGAAGTCCACTGTTAGATATGGGCAGTGCTTAGGCTCTCTGAGCCCTGATTTTCTCAGGTTTCTTAGCTCAGTGGTAAATGCTCAGTAAATATTTCCATTGGTACCTCCCTTGTAATACCTCAGTCTGTTCATTGCCACAAAGTAAATAGGATTGGATTACCATACTTTAGGGTTAATAATGTAGTTACTTCCATATCTGCAATTGAAACATCCCCAGTAGTTATGTAGATGGTGTGGCCACATAAATGACTTAAGATAAGATAGTTTGTAGACCTCTATGGTTTAATTATATGAAGAATAGGGACTTTATTAACAATATGACCTCATTTTAAGTGCCATATGCTCCTGTGTTGAAATAAAGCTTTGTTAAAAAGTGGCCTTTTTTGCCAATCGGCCCTCAAAGAGATTTATTTTCCTCAAAAACTCTTGCCTGCCATTTTTCAGAGCTACCTAAAATGTTGAGTTGCAGTTAGCTAACCATTATTTGTTTCACTTTTACTTCTAAGGAGATTGTTGCCCCCCACCCCGATGGTGGGCATGACAGGCGGTCTGTGCAGCACCGTGCTTTTGCTTCCTTGTCGCCATCCAGGTACTGCTAGGCTGTAAACTTGGGGGAGTGATCCTGGGAGGGAAGCAGGGAGGTAACCACGTTACCTCGGATGGTTACTTATTTTACAGGAAGACCTAGAGTGGATGGTTCAGAATTCTGTTCAGCAGGACTGCGTTTAACTGGTGCTGCTGTGCAGGAAACGGGGACGCCATACCTGGGCTTGCCGAATTCTGGGGGGAGATTGCTGTTTCTACGGTCTGTGTTTCCACAGCCCGTCTGCCTTGCACAGTCACCCCTGACTCTTGCCTAAAGGAACGCTACCTCTGGTCACAAAGGAAATATTGACTCAGGGAAGGGAAAGTAGTCCTAGCTGTAAGGCTGTGGGAGCGGGAGCAGGGGTGGAGCTCAAGGTGGAGTGGATGATTGGAGTCATTTTTCTTCTGCTGATGCCAGTTTTGGGGGAGGCAGTTGAGAAATTTGGGTGATATAGTAGGTCTTCACTTCATATACCTTTAGCACTAAGGGAGATAAAGGGCAATGTGAATAATAAACCTGTTCTCAACAAGAATGGCTGGGGTGACTGGAGCAGGGATCCAGTTCTAGAAGATGAGCGCCATTAGCTGCTTTGTCATAGTGTTTGGGGAGCCCAAGGTTCAAGACTTTTTTTACAGACTGATGAGTATCAGCTTCATTTAGCGGCATTGTCTGAGAGAGAGCAGGTGGGTTCCAAGGTCTGAAGGAAGTATTCTGTGGCTGGAGCATGGAGCATGTGTTGAGGGCAAATGAGAGGTAAAGGGTTAGCAGGCCTAGGTCATTCAGGGTCTTATTAGCCAAGTTAACAAGTTTCGACTTTTTCCTAAAGTCAGAGGGAAGAAAAAGGGGTTTAAAGAGAAGGAAATGATTAGTCGTATTTTAAAAGGATTTTCTGGCTGCAGAGTAGAAATTAGATGGGGCCTGGGAGGGTGGGGGCTGGGATCCCAGATGACAGACTTGTAATAACCATGGTGTTGAGAACTGTTGACAGCCCCAACTAGAAAGTAGCAACAGGTTGAAGAAAAAAAAGAAGTTCAAAAAATATTAGGAAAGGCCTAAGAGTTGAGGGGTGGAGGTGGGAGGATGCAGGAGAATCTGTTAGCCACAGGTCTAGTTCTGGCTGGAGAGAGTGGGTGGGTAGGTTATAATGCCAGTTTCCTGAATAGGGACCTCTGGAGGGGGTGAGGTTCATGAGGAAACATGACAGCCTGATTTTGGAGTACGGTGACTTTGAAGGATGCAGATCAGTGGCCCGGTGAGCGCCTGGATGTGCAGCCTGAGGTTCTGAGAGAAATAATGTCTTGGGGATCGAAATCAGTGTCATTGCCTATAGATGTTAATTGAAACCACAAGGTTGAACTCTAGTCTTGGACAGAATATTAGGCCTCTTCAGCAGAGGAGGAAGAATTGGGAAAGGAGGCTCAGAAGGAACAGCCAGAAAGGAAGAAGGAAAACCAAAGGATCATGACATTCACACCCCGACAAGAAAGTGTTAACAGTGTAAGGTGCTACTGTGGGGTCAGGTGTGGTAAAATTAAAATGTCTTCATTGGATATAAGGAACAGCAGCTGTGCTGGATTGATTTTATAGTAGACCAAGCACATGCTGAGTGCACTGATAAAGCAGACACAAGATAAAAAGAAAATGGAAAGAACTTGACATTGGACATTTCATAGAAACAGCAAAAGTCATCTTGGGAAAAAACCCTAAATGTTGTTGAATTTCTTTATACCTATTTTTATTTTTATGTTGAATAAATGGGGAGGGGGAGGTACCTTAATCTTTTTTATTCTATGGCCATCTAAAGGTCTTTAATTTTTTTTCATGTTTAACTTGATATTTTAAAATAGGTAATACGTTAAAATAATTCAAAATTCAAAATGTACAAGAGGCTATTATGTGAAAAGTTTCTCTGCCCCCCAGTTCCTCCGACATACAGCCTTCTAAATTTTATGTGAAAATTGTCTCCTCTTTGGCACAAATGTTTACCATCCTTCTCACTGTTTTGCTCCTTGTTTTTTTCACTTAGCGGTGAAGATCATTACCCATCAGTGCATAAATAGCCAATCCATTGTTTTTTGACAGATGCACACTGTTCCATTAGATAAGTGTACTGTTATTTATTTAACCAGTTTCCTATTGATTGATCTTTCAGTTTTCTAATATTTTGCTGTGACAAGCAATATTGTACGGAGCGTCCTTGTATATGAATTATTTGGCTGAAGTGTAGAATAAATTTCTGGAAGTGGAAATTGCTGGACCAAAGGGCCTGTAAATTTTTTTATTTTATTTTATTTTTTTGCATGTCACTAACCTGGTGACTGGGTACGCCATAGGGGAGCCAGAGTCAGTGAATAAGGTCAGCAGTTGCTCTTTGAGGACTCTAGCACACTAAGGCAATAGCTGATAACCACGTGTGATTCTAGCCTCGACAGTCTGTAAATGTTTTGATGCAGCTTTGCTTATTAGAGTTCCTGGCACTTAGAAAGCCTGCAGTGAATGGTAGCTATCAATAAGATGAATGTGTTCTAGATAATTTGTATATGTTCGAGTGAATGGGGTACCTGATGTAACCAGAAGACAGAGGAGGCTTCCCGGAGGAACTGTCTGGGCTGAGCCCCGAAGACTGAGAAGTCAGGTAAAGTGGAGGGCGTTACAAGCAGAGGGAGCACAAGGAGCCAAGCACAGGAACTTATTAAAAAGGAGTTTATGCCCTGACTGGTATGGCTTAGTGGATTGGGCATCGTCCCACAAAGTGAAAGATCAGCGGTTTGATTCCCAGTCAGGGCACATGCCTGGGTTGCAGGTTCTGTCCTAGTTGAGATGTGTACTAGAGGCACCTGATCAATGTTTCTCTTTTACGTCTATGTTTTTCTCCCTCTCTTCCTCCCTTCCCCTCTTTCTAAAAAATAATTTTTTTTTTTTTAAAGATGCTTGTATGTGGGGATTTTCCAGGAGTTTGGTATCTCCTGCATTCATCAGTTTATTCCTGTCACAGGTCAAGGCTCTTATGAGTAGGGGAGGCTCTGCTGAAGATATGGAATGTCAAAGGGATTTTATTTTACCTTGCAGCAACACAATAATGGGATTTAGGGTTATTTTCTTTTCTTTGTTTTTTTAAATCCTTACGCAAGGACATTTCTTCATTCCTTTTATAGAGAGAGGGAGAAAGGGGAAGAGAGAAACAGCAATGTGAGAGAGAAACAGCAGTTTGTAGCCTTTCCCCATATGCACCCTGAAGGGGGATCGAACCCACAACCCTTTGGTCTGTGAGCCGATGATCCAACCAGCTGAGCCACACCAGCCAGGGCAAAGGATTATCCTTTTCTTTTTCTTTTCGAAGATTTTATTTTGCAAGAGGGGAAGAGAGGAAGAAAGGGCGAGAGCAGCATCAATGAGTAAGAGAAACATCAATTGACTGCCTCTCACATGCCCGTAGTCAGGTACCCGGCCTGCAACATAGGCATTGGCCCTGACCAGGAATCGAACTGGTGATTTTTCACTTTGTGGGATGATGTCCAATCCCCTGAGCCACACTGGTGGGGGGTGGAGATTATCCTTTTCTTAAGAAGCATTTGGTCCCCACCCCTGAGACCTCCTCAAACCCAGATGCACAGAGTGTTGTCTTATAGGTCACTTTGTTACCCAGGATGCAGTGCCTCACTTTGGTTTTGGACTTCTTTTCCCCTTCCCCTATAGTCCATGCCACCTCTATTTTCTGTTCTCCCCTATCTCTGAATTTGTCTTGATTTCTTTTTCTGGCAATTGATAGATCTCTCCTTTCTTGTAATCTATGCCTTCAAGGTTTACCTTATACCTTTAAGGAGTTTATCAAGATATTTTCCCAAACTTCTCTGGAAAGCATTCTGGAGCCAACTATTAAAATACTAATTTTCCAGTGCCTGGCTGGGTAGGTCAATTGGTTAGAGCGTCATTCTGATACACCAAAATTGTGGATTTGATTGCTGCTCAGGGCACATAAAAGAATCAATGAGCAGGGGAAAGTACTGGCAGGAAAATGGAGACAAATGTATTTAAACAATTTAAAAAAATTTTTTTAAATCAATGCATAAATAAATGGAACAAAACAGTGTTTCTCCCTGCCATCAATTTTAAAAAATAGTAATTTTCCACTGTACTGTAATTATACAATTATAAATTTACTTTAGGAGTCATTAGGTTAATGTCCTTGCTTCAAGTGGTATCATATTAACTCTTAATACCAATCATCTGTTGTTAACCTGATCTTGTAATACTTTGATTTCTACTTACAAAGCTGACATTAAAGTAGAAAAAACAGACTTTAAAAATCCAAATCCTTCCCTGGCTGGTGGGGTTCAGTGGGTTGTGTGCCGGCCTGAGAACTGAAAGGTCCTGGTTTGATTCCCGGTGAGGGCACATGCCTGGCTCGCAGACCAGGTCCCCAGTTGGGGACGTGCAAGAGGCAACTGATAGATGTATCTCTCACACATCGATGTTTCTCTTCCTCTTTCTCCCTCTCTTCTCCATTCTCTAAAAATAAATAAATAAAATCTTTAAAAAAAGAAAATCCAAATCCTCACCCTCACCAGTGTGTCTCGGTTGGTTGAGTGTCATCTCGCAAAGGGAAAGGTCCCTGGTTCAATTCCTGGTCAGGCCAGGCACCTGGGCTGTGGGTTCATCCCTGGTTGCGTCTCATGTGAGAGACAGCTGATCAATGTTTCTGTCTCACATTGATGTTTCGCTCCCTCTCTTTCTCCCTCCTGTCCCCTCTCTCTAAAAATAAATAAAAACTTTTAAAAAGTTAATGTCATTTTAAAAACCTTTAGAGGGAGAGTTTCTCACAGCATTGTTTTTATTACAAAAATTTCTTTTGGGTGCTTCAGTATCATATTGACAGATGACCAGATTAGTAAATTATAGAACATATGGCTATAAAGCCTGTATAATTACAGGGGAAATGCTTGTATTTAATGTTCAGTGGAGAAAAAATATTTTAAAATCTATAATATGAGAACTGAGTATATATAGAGAGAAAAACAAAAAAAACAGCATAGAAGAGAGGAAAAGGTGACTTAGTGGGGTGGCAAATTTGTGGCAGAAATAAAGTTTTTTTTATTTTCATTGATGTTGTTAAATTAGTAGAATTAGAAAACACAGGGGAGGACCCAGAACTTCCTTTCTGTGGTAGACCCAGTGACTTCGTTCATAATCCACATTTTTCTCCTGACCTTGAACTTAAATTTATCCTGCTACAATTTAAGTGTATCATTTGTGTTTTCATCTTATTGGGTTCTCAGTGGAAAAGAACAAGCCAGTGTCCCACCTGTCCCCAGCCTGGGTTGTGGCCAGGGACCAGTTGCCTGGGCTGTGGAGAAAACCCAGGACACCTGGAGGCATTTCTGTAAAAGCAGATTCAGAAATAGCATTTTTCTTCTTAGACCCTTTCTTAAAATTGCTTTACTTTTCTCATCTTCTGGTTTGTAAGCATTTATTTTCCTTTATTTTTAAAATTTTATTGATTTTTAAGAGAGAGAAACATCAGTTTGTTGTTTCACTTATTTATGCATTCATTGGTTGATTCTCTATGCCCTGACCAGGCATTGGACCCGCAACCTTGGTATATCCAAACAGTGCCCTAGCAGTTGATTGGCCAGGGCAGCTTCTCTCTTCCTTTAAACTGCTTTTAGTGGCTTTTGCTTTTGGGAAAGGGTTTTTCCTTTCAGTGTAATAGAAGGCAAGAGCCACGCAGGTGAAGTCGCATACCTGGGGATTTTGTCGTAGCCTTTAAAAATAAAACAAAAACAATGGCTTGGAAACTGAGTTTTAAATTGTTATCACTTCTTTTTCCAGTGATTACTTTTACATTTTGGGAGAGACTTGTTATAGTCTTTTAAAAGGTAAAGTAACAAATTTTTACTTTCCAGCAACTTGAGGGAGTTCCTGACTTCACAGGTTGCTAAGATGTTAGATTCATGCTGAGCAGAAGTGAAGTGTTAGTTACAAATGAGAGAGAAAAGGGTCCTTTTCACAGTTACAAATAAGCCATTTCTAATAGTTTACACCTTTTTATTTTTCACTTTTGCTTTTCCTTGGTTTTGTATAAACATTAACCCCCCTGAGGAGATGGATATTTACGGTGGTAAGTAGTAGCTGTGGCAGGGAAAGAGCAGGGCAGACAGACAGGCTTCGTCGGTGCTGTAAGTTCAGGGCCTCGTTTGTGGACCTCTGGAAGACCTCAGGAAGGACACATTCTTATTCCTCAGTGTTCTGCTATACTTAAACTTTAACCTAAAAAACTGAGATATAAATCATGCACTACAAAGTCACCCTTTCAAACTGTACAGTTCAGAGGCTTTCAGTATATTCACTATGTTGTGCAACCATTACCACTGTCAAATTCCTCAATATTTTTATCGTCCCCTAAAGGAACTCCATACCCGTAAGCAGTAATTTCCTATTTTCCCTTCCCTCTAGCACCTGGCAGCCACTAATCTACTTCTTGTCTCTGTGGATTTGTCTGTTCCAGGCATTTTATATAAATGGAAATATATAAATGTCACTGGTGTCTTTAACTGAGCATGTTTTCAAGATTCATCCATGTAGTAGCATGTATCAGTACTTCATATGAGTGAATTATAACCCAATACATGAATATATACATTTTGTTTATCTGTGCTTCATTGGTAGACATTTGGATTGTTTCCATTTTAGGCTATTATAAATAGTGCTATTATGAATATTTGTGTACAGGTTTTTATGTGATGTAATTTTTTTTTAACACAGTACTTTGTACTTGCCAAAAAAGAAAATATTAAAAATCAAGACCAATAAACCTATACTCCTACCACCTAACCCAGCTGTATTTATTTCTATATTACCTTCAACGTGTCCATACAATATTCTAAATGGTTAAGAAATCATGTACTGTCTTGATGCTGATGACTTCACTCTTCTATTCCCCCTTCAACTCACTCCAGTTGGACTTCCACCCTCACCATTAAAAATTAGGGCTCTTACCAAACTCAAGATCACCAGCAACCTCTATCTTGCCAATCCAGTGTCCTCATACTACTTGACCTCCAAGTGGTTTGTGATGCTGATGATCATCCCCTCCTCTGGAAACACTGTCCTCTCTTGGTTCCTACAGCACCGCACATTATGAGTATTCATTCTACTTCCCTGGCTATTCCTCAAATTATATTTCTGTTTCTTTTACTGCCTAACCTCTAAATGTTGGAAAGTTCCAGGATTTGGTCCTAAGCCCCTACTCTTTATTCTCTTCTCAGCCATGATATTTAGTCCTAATGATTCTTAAATTTACATCTCCAGTTCTGACTTTATTAGGTTCTGTACTCATATATACAATTGCCTACTTGACATCTCCACGTAGAGGTCTAGGAGGCATCCCAATTTAACATGGCCAAAGCAGAGCTCTCAATTTCTAACCCTGA